TGCGCATGTGTTTGGAGCGTCTTCCGAAAAATGATCTTCATGGGCAGAAACCGATCGTGACATTGCCAACGAAAGCAGCACTAGCTCAATTTGAAAGCCAGCAAAAGACTCGTCCAATTCCACCAACAACGAATACATCTCGTGGCGGTCAACCACCAATGCAGCCCGGTGGCGGTCCAATGCAAGGCAACTTTCCGCAGGGACCACAAGGTCATCCGCCACGCATGATGATGCCAAACGGACCATCTGGACCCGGTGGTTTTCGTCCACAACACGGTATGCCACCACAAAATATGGGAATGCCACCGAATCAGGGTCCACCTCGAATGCAGGTAGCTATTAAAAACATCCTGTTTGACATTTTTGGACAAAAACTCCATGTAGCATTCATCCGGTGTACACTTCTAATGACATTCTAATCACTGCTATTTATTTCTCTGTATCCATTCACGAAATGAACTTAACCAACAACCAATTGACCGAGAGTTCGAATTAAAAGTGTACACTTTTGAATTAGGTTCACTAAGGAATCCAAAGTCGATTGAAAATTTCTTAATTTTAACACTAAATTGGAACACAATTGTTTTGAAAAAAAAAATAGCTCCGCAGAGAGACCGAGCAAAAACAATCAACACAAACACCAACTGTGTATGTTTGAGTTTACTGTTTTTCTTCCAATCTCAAATAGAGTTTAACGACCATACTGAGACTGAGTCCTTTACACTATTACGTAAAAATATTTAGTTTGCAATTGAAAATGTTCCTACAAAATCTGAACGAAAACCGAACGAAAAAGAACAAAACCAATTAATTTTATTAGAAAGAGCGCCAAATTCTATAAATTGTCGTATAATTCTTTTGGAAATTTTCTCTGACGCTATTATAAATTGTTTGTGGCCATACAAAGGAGATAACAATATGACATTTAAATAGAAAAAAAAGCCAAACAAATTTGTTATCTCTTTCGCACGGCACATACGAAATGTATACTATAAATAGTAAGACAAAAATCAACTGATTGATAGTAATTTGATTTTTTTTTTTTTTTTTTGAACAAATTTTTGTATAAACGAAACACCTAATCAATGAACAATTATAGTCGATTGAAATTGTTACATATTCGAAAATAATCAAATTAATCGAATACCTTTGTTTGTTGTGCTGTGTGATGAAGACCGATTCTAAACGAAATTAATTGACTCATATGAATAATTTATAATGAAACTATCGGCACAAGGAACACTGTGTTCAGTTGGCTAAAAAAAACATTTTTTCCAAATTCTGTCTTGTGATTTGCCTGTGATGTATTTTCTTTACACTTTTATAAAATTGGAAGTATTTACTTTTTTGTTTCTTTTAAATGCGAAGCCAAGTAAAAATATCAAACACAAAAAGAAGCGGAAAATTAGCTCTTTGAAGAGAAAGAAAATCAAATTGAAGGAAAAGATATGTTATATGATTCGTTCATAAGACTGCCGCTAACAAATGAAGCCTTTTGGTTTAGAAATTGTACAAAACGAGAAGAAAAAAAACAAATGTTTGATTCGCTTCAGTCTGTTGATGTTCATATTTTTACTTGCTCGTTCGAATTACACTACTTTGTACTTTTATTTGTTATTGATTTATTTTACTTTTTTTTGATAACTTAACTTTTGTTGTTATGTTTGACTGCGCATTTTGATATTTTAGATGCGTTTTTTTAGTTGAACAATTTTTTTTAATACACAATATTTATCTTGTATAAGGAGTTCATATATTAAGTGCCAAATTACTATAAGATTGGTAATATGATATCCTATTATGATTGACGATCTCATTGTTTTCTGTACCTTAATTGCTTTCTCTTGTGAATGTGTATCATGGTATACTGCAGTATATATTGAGTCATGACTCAACGGAACTTTGTACAAACGAAAATCCGTTTTAGAAAATTGTATAGATTCCAGTTTTATTGAAATGATGACGATCTTGATGAAAAATTAACGTTTTACTATATGACATGTGACTGTTTTTTTTTCTTCAGTTGTTCAAGGCAGTCTTGATTGAATTGAAAACCACTCGAATAGGTGGCAATTTTAAACTGATTTTTCCACTAAACTTATTTGATTAAAACGAATGCTAAGATTTTCAAAAATTCACACTCTTTGTGATCGGCTGTATCAACTGCAAAGCAATTAAAAGGAAGACATTGTTTTATTTTAGTTATAGAGAAATCATTCTTTGTAACCGAAAATTGTGATACCTATTTTATTTAATTGATGTGATTTCCCCACACACACAAAAAAAAACTTTCAATAGTTTTAAACGTACGCCCATTCTATATTTTCAGTCTATTGGCGACATTCTATACCAACATATAGAAAGAAGATTTTTTCTTTGAGTTTTTATTTATGAACATTCACTCTGTAGGATATTTGATCTTCAGATTTTATTCAGTCGTTGATATATATATATATATTCATCTCAAACCAGATGAAACCCCCTTTTTTGTAGTAAACTAGAGAATGTAATGATGATGCATTTGTGGATCGCAAACGGCGGCATTATATATCTATATATATATATATATATATTTATCAAAAATGGATCATTATTTGGGACACAAATTTTCAATGCAAATTTATGAAGAATGTACCTATAATGAATAAAGAAAATTTTAGCGTAGAAAGTGGCATGTAACGACAAAATTGTTCAACAAACCAATATAGAATGTGATTTGAATTTAAAATAAAAGCCAATATATTCGCATTTACTCAGGTTCAACGAAAATAATTTATCCAATGAGAACCACTTGATCAATAAAACTCACCAACACTGAATAAAAAATGTAAATATTTCTTAAAATTTAGAACGACCCTTTATCCGTTTTCGAAGCAAAAAAAAAATGAAATTTCTGTCCTAAACATTGCATATATTTCGCCTCCTTTGCTAAACACAAATGAATCAAATGAAAATACGTAAAACTCTTCGGTTTACACCATTGAAACAATTAGTCTAAATTAAGTTTTTCCAAGTGTGTGTATTCAAAACACCTGAATAGATCTAGCTATACTTTTGTATATACAGATATACTATACATCGCGTCGAGTATTTGATGCGTGATGCAAATTTATCAATGAAAAGAAACTTGACACATGATTTACTGCCTATTTCTTTCTATCTGAGAAGATTTATTACAAAAACTGTTGTGTGTGTGCCTTAAATTATTTACCTCTCTCCGTTTTTTTGTTCTCCTCCTTCTCAAATATTTACCGATTAAAAGCATGAACGCTAATGATTGTGATATGATAAAGTTTAACTCTTAGAATAATATGATCGAATCGACGATTTACATTTTAATCCATTACCATTCTTTCGTTCACTCAAAAAATGTCCATTATTACCGCATATTTGCGAAACACGAAATTATTTGTTAAGATCTTTTACGTCGATAATTTTTCTCATTCAAATTTATCTAAATGTTAACTATTGAAATCATTTTGTTTTTCGAATCGAATACTCCGTTTAAGTTAAATGTGCTCGTTTTGTTTTCTCAAATGACTAGTTTATTAAATATGTGACGATGATTGTATTAAACAAGGTAGTCATTTTCTCAGCAAATTTCTAAATATACCTACATGATCAACTCATGTATTTGTATTTCATTTCGTTACATGTATATTTGACAATATTTGGTTAAGCATCGAAGAGATCGTTTTCGAATAAATCTCAGTCTTTGTAAAAGACAAAAAAACCGAAAATATAATGGAATATGATGACTTTTGTACTGTTTCTCAGTGAAATTCTCTTCGATGACACACGAGTGTAATTGCTAGTTGTTAAACAAATTGCTGTAACGATTGAAAATTAAGTTCGCAGATATTCGGACAAACGATTATTGTATTATGATGACTTTTGTAATAACATTTTACATTAGATTACTTGCTTATAAAATGTTGAAAGATTATTGTTGGACTTGACCTTGAAAACGTCCCTTAAATTTTCATCTTGCATATATTGATGCATTGATGCATCACTTATAAAATTGTTAAAACTCCACAAAAGAAACCTATTTCTCACATAGAATTATTTCTCATATAAAATTGTATTCTCAGGCGAAATGATTTGAATTTAATTTTTGTTTTTTTTTTTTCAACAAAGAACTTCAGCAACAACAAAAAAAACACTGAAATAGTTGTTTCGGCAATTTTGTAATTGTCTAACAAGTTTCTATTATTCTAAACTGATGCTTGAAAAATAATATTTTTCCAATACATTTCCTCTGCATAATTGTTGTTTCTGCGATTGCTTCAATTTATTGTACAAAATTTATGATGTTTAAATGCATAAGCATATTTTTCTCATTGATCTAATGGTACTAGACGATATGATGAATTGATGACATTTACTGTTGTACAATAATGTTTAAAAAGACTGGAAAAAATGACAAAACTATTTTTTTTAAATGAAAAGCGTCTCAATAAAACAACACAGTTTACCAAACGAAAGATTTAATTTTTTTTATTCCAATTCATAAGTTTCCAAGCGCTGGGGGGTATTTAGCATATATATATCCATTGATTGCTTTATTTTTTTTTTGTCTCATAAATGATTTTCATACACTTCATCGTTTTTATTCAATCATTGTTGTTTTATTTATATCCATCGAATATATGTTGATTCATTCAGAGTAAGTATGCAATGTGGTTCAACGTGTCCTTTGTCAGGGGGAGAGTTTTAGACATTTTCCAATGGGTTTATTTTAATTTAGGTCATAAGTTAGAATAGATGATTTAGTGAGTAGCAACAGATGTGAACTCGTGTTTTTTTTTTGTCTTGAGAATGTACAAAGAAAATATGTTTTTATTGCTATTTTTCAGCAACCAATGATGGGAGGACGTCCGATGGGTCCACAAGGCCAGGGACCTCAAGGAATGCCCCGATTTCCGAATCAAAATCAATGGAATCCACGACAAAACGGTCCACGGCCAATGCCAAATGGACCACCAGGCAATGGACCGCCACAGCGACCAATGGTAAATATAGCTCGAAATGGATTCGTATGAATGACATTTCCTTGTCGATGCAACAAGCGGTTGCTCATTTGATCATTTTCATGTTTACATTTTAAGACAATTCTATTACAAAATATTTTCGTACATAGTTTCAGCCAGGTGGTATGCCACCGCGCGGCCCAAGAGGCGATTGGAATCGTCCACCAGGAAATATGCATCAAGGTGGTTTTCAAGGTACAGTCAAATTTTATTTCACAATTTAACGTTAAATTTGACTAAACACTTAAACCGATTATTGATGTTGTACACATTCGTTTCACTTTTCCGCATGCAGCTTATATGCGGAGAGGTATTTATGAAGCTTATTGCTCATTTCTTATGTGGATTATTTACCAAAAATAAATGAAGAATCGTTGAAATTAAAATACGTATACATTTCAGGTATGCCAAATCAATCGAATATGAATATGCAAGGGCCACCACGTGGTCCACCACCAGCACCACAAATGGGTCCTGGTGGCCCAAATAATATGGGACAACAGCAGATGCCAGCACCACACGTCAATCCAGCGTTCTTTAACCAAAATTCAGGTAAAGTCTTTGCTTCAGACATGATTTTGAGAATAGATTTAGTTTGTGTGCTAATGGTCATAAACTGTTATTATTGCTATATAGGTCCACCTCAAGGGCATCCACATGGCCATCCAAATTCAGGCGGTATGAATCAGCCACCACAAAACATGCAGCATGGTAAACATAATCAACCCCCAGAATTTTATATTTCATTTGATTTGAGTTGAATCTGAATCATTACAAAATATTCACAGGTGGCCCACAGCATTTCCCTCCAATGGATAACGGACCACGTTTCCATAGTAAGTCATCAACAATAGCACAATTTCTCGTATAAAAACTGATTGTTTCTATCATCCACTTTTAGATGCGCTAAAACCACAATCGATTCCGCCAGCAAATCAATTCCCAGAACAGCCGATACATCCACAAATGAGCGAAGCTGAATTTGAAGAAATAATGACGCGTAACCGTACTGTTAGCAGTTCAGCTATCGCTAGGGCTGTTTCAGATGCGGCCGCTGGCGAAACAATGAGGTAAACGAGCGCTGATGCTTTATTTTGTCCAATAAACGATTCTAACGTTACGTTCTCTACTCTTACAGTGCCATCGAAACGCTCGTTACAGCTATTTCATTGATTAAACAGTCAAAGGTTGCTCACGATGAACGATGCAAAATACTGATCAGCTCATTGCAAGACACTTTAAATGGTGAGTTTTACGATGATATGGGGAAAATATTGCGAAGAAATCTTTAACAAAATGCTATCGAAATTTCAGGTATCGAAAGCAAATCATACAGACGTAGTCGCTCAAGAGAGCGTCCTCATCGTTCGGATCGGCGTGACAGACCCAGACGATCATCACGCGAACGAAGTGCATCCAAGGAACGCCGTTCTTATCGGGAACGATCACGTGATCGAAGCGGACGATACTATGAAAGTGGAAGTTCATATCGATCCAGAAGTAGAGACCGAACTGCATCTGGAACGAGTGGAGTTGGCAATAGTGGCAATGATCACTACAGCGAAAGGTAATGGAATTGGTTTTCATATTTCTTTTGGCATGTAAAATCTAAATTTTCTTCCATTTTCAAACAGATCGAATCGTCCAAGAAACAAATCACCTGATAACTCAGGCGATCCAAGCGAGTCATCGAAACGAAGGTAATTTGAACTTGTAGTTTACCAATTTGTTCAATGTCTTGATGAATTTATTCATGAATTTCAGCTACTACGATGAACGGTATAATCGATCGTCCAGAGACAGAGACCGTGATCGTCGCGATGATCGCCGTGACGAGCATCGTCGACACTAAATTAGATGGCACAATTTCAGCTCCTTATTTTCCATTTAGAAGTACAGATTTCTCATAACTCACCGAAAATAATCATTGTAAACGGCAAGAACTTGGTGTCAACGCAAAAGCCAGAGAGAAAACACAGATTACAATCCGAATCATACAAATTTATTTCCAGGAATAGATTCCGGAACAACAAAAAAAGGAGAATAACTAGCGATAGAAACACAAATAAAAGTTAATTATATGGTTTTAGTATTACCTACACACGCTAAATAACAAAAAAAAAACTCTTTATCTGCGTACACTAATCGAAAACTTTTATTGCTGAATAAAAATCTATCTTTTTTTGAATGCAACACATTTAACGTGCTGCTGCTCTAATGTAATGAGATGACATAACAAGTGAACAATTGAACATGTCTTTTTAATCTGTTTTCATTTTTAAGTTATTTACACGATAAGTTAATATTTTACCAAAACGATTCTGTACTTATATCGCCGTTCAAAGCCAAGTAAGCAATAACTTATAATTTAATTTAGGCCCAACCAACAAATTGTGACAAAAATCAGGCATTGTGAACATAGCAATTGAATCGTTTCCACAAGAAAAAAGAAACGTTGAAACGAGAGACAAAACAAACAGACAGACAGACAGACAGACACACAGAGAAAATTGTTAGAATGAATGTGGAATCATTCGGCTCAAAGAAACAAAAAATTGAACAAGACATACGAAAAGAGTTTTTTTTCGTAAATGGATCTAGATGATCTGACTAAACATTGTAACTCTAACTAATTGTAGCATGCAACAAGGTAGCACGGTTTTTGAGTGTTCAACCAAACTCATAGAAATCATCTGTAAATAAATTTTAGCTCCAGAATAACAAACGTCATTAATGGCTCTTTTTTCTACAACACTTCGGAACAGGCCACGGTAAAGGGAATGAAACGAAATTTGGTTTAAATTCATTTAGTATATTTTATTGAAATTCTAGAAAAAAGATGCGTTAAAATTGAATATCCTCAAAACCATTTAAAGCAACACAAATGCACCGACACATAATCTATAGTTTTGCATTTATAGTATAATTGCAGAGTCCATTTAAATGCGTCAAAGCAGAGCAATAACGGCGAAGGTGCTGCGATACTTCATCCAGTTCCTGTGAATTCACCGTGTATTGCACCGAAGGTGAAGATGAAGAACCAGTGATCGATTGCTTGACGATACATTCATTAGCGACCAGTGAATACAGTGCATTCCCAATGCTGTCCAATGATAAACAATATGGATGAACGAATGCTGTCCTCGCACTCAAACGGGCTTCGACATGCATTTGCACCTTTACGAACACATCCTTCTCGGTGAATGGCTTCGTTGATAACTAAGCAAATGTAAATGAATGTATTAGTTTAGATGATTAAGATGTTCAAAATGGGATAGTGATGATCAAAGTGAAAAGTTGTTGTACCTGATCTCTGATCACTTCGATAACATTGAAATAACAGAAAAAGAATGGCAGAATCGATGCCAACAGCAAGTTGGCCAGCTCATCATTCTCTTGTGCGTTAATACTGTTCATAATATCGACGATTCTTTCCGAGTTCTGGTCGGACGTCTTCTTTTGAGTTATAAACTCAGATGAAAATATTCGCTTCATTCGCTCTAACTCTGTGATTATCTCTTCTTTGGGTGTTGCTAATCGTTGGAGCAATACAAAAAAAGCCGGTTGGTGCAGCCAATATAAAACTGGGTTGGCATAGATTTGCAGAAGAAAAGATGGTAAGCTGTGCCGCATTGTGTGTGGCGATAGACTGTGTCCCTTCAGCTTTGATGGATTAACATTGTTAGCGGCAACTGCATTTCCGAATATCAACTCCAACGGAGCACCGGTATCTTTGGATTGAAATTTCAGCACATTCGAGTGTATTTCTAGCGAGTCGGTTATATCAGAATCTCGCTTCGATTGAATTTCAAGTGACAAAAGAGCCTGCAATTTCTTCAGAAAGTTTGCAAGAATGCCAACACCTGGAAAAACGACAGAAAATTTTTTATTTATTTACCCGCATGTAAGATTGATCATTGGACAAATTATGCATATTTACCGTATTTCAATTGATCTCGATTGCATAGTTCATTGATCATCGATCGATAGTTGAAATAAATGGCTATCAAATTGAAGGTGGTCAAGACAATGAGTTGCTGTTGCTTGTCAACAATTTCATACCTGCCCAATGAAAAAAATGTTTAAAGGCCGCAGTATATTGACTGTGCTAAGGTAGCATAGTAATTAGGTTTTTGATTGAGATCTTGAATGAATGGTTGAATGAAATATAACATACGATAGCTGACTGATCAGCTGTAAACGATCCTTGGTCAAAGCTGGTGAGAATGGTTCATTTGGCGTCCAATAAATTGTACGATCTCTCCCGAAGTAATCGTAGATTGACATTGCTTTGCCGAAATTCACAAACATCTTGCCGTGACACTCGTCCAAGATTTCGAATGCTTTAAATAAGCCACGAGTTGATTCTTTTGGCTTTGGTACACCTAATAATTCATATGCAAATAGTTGTTCTTCGACAGGTCTATCGTATGCAACGCCAACGGGTACAACGAGGATATCAAAGATGTTTCGCTTCATAAAAGGTTCCATCAACATGGAAAAAAGACCTTTTGGATCGAATTATAACCAGAAAAATTGATTAAATGCAAGTAAATTAAGTAGAGCGGAGAAGAGAGATTGTCTTCGAGTACCGATTTTTGGAGTTAATGCCTTGCAGCTTCTACTTCTCGTTCCCTCGATAAAGAATTCAACTCCAGAGTGGTATTGTGTAATAAGTGTTCGAGCATATTCACGGAACACCTCCCAGTACATTTTGTCGGTAGAAAATGATCGTCGCATAAAAAATGCACCAGTGTTCCGTAGAGCTTCACCCATTCCCTTCATCCCATGGAAATCTATGGAATAAATTTGCACTCAAACTACAAGAATCTCACTACAATCAATTGGTTTTGCCAATTATCTTACCCATGCCTGCTGCAATGGCCTTTAAAATAGAGGAAAAAATATGTGGTCATGAAAAAAATGAATATCCTATGGCTATGCATATATACATATATGTGATTTCAAAAGATTTTCACCGGAATTTCGAGATCGTGCGCAAAGCAAATGTAGGACATCAAAACAAAGTCGGCATAGCTTCGATGGCTGGGCAAATACAAAACTGGGCACCGGCTTTGTGCCAACTCCCTTTTCACCAACTCAACCGATTGTCGATTCACATAAACGCCATGCGTCATTTGCTGCAGGATTTTATTCAGTGTGATGCCAAGAAAGCGAATCACAGTCATATTCCGTTTAAATCCTATCTCTTCGAGCAATGTTTTAACCACATTCCGTAATTGAGCTTCTTTTTTGTCGTCGCCACCACTATAGAATTTACATATTCGATCTACTTCGCCGCTATTCAGAACGATGATTTTCAGTGTTTCCGGTGTGAGCAATTTCTCAAATTTATATGGAATAAGTGGTCGCCACTTTTTGCCCAAGTCCGGTAAACGATTTCCCTCTAATAAATTCACAAAATTCTCCATTTTCTAACGTAATCATTTGTTTACTAAACGGTGTTTACGTCAAAAATGGGTGAAGTCGAAAACAACAATGTATATCGACATACGTGTTAATCACAGATTTGGTTTTTTCTTCGGTTAAAATAAAAGCGATAAACAACTACACTCTCAAATGAGCAGTTGCGCACTGAACATTTATCCATTGTCTAGTGTTTTGCTCATAGCCCAGAACAGCGTACACTCTAAATCATCAAATGAATACGGTTATTATCAAATGTCAAAGACTTTTGTGTGTGTGTATTGAATCGGCGAACAACCTATGGTTTGTTTTGTCTGCATTTGACGTTTTTCGTTTTTCGTGTGTAAGAGTATATACTAGTACTAACTATATATTGTGAAAACAAGTGAACACTGTTGACAAAGCCAAACATAATGTTTGATAATTATTGAAAATTGCGGTGTAATATTGCACTTCCCGATTGGAATGGTGGAAATTTAGAGAGAAATTTTCGTTTAGTTAGAAAATGAACATCACAAAAATGACCAAATCCAATTCAACAGTTGACGAAAAGTGGATACACAGCTTTGCTGTCACAGATGTTTTTTTGCATCCAAAGAAGTTTACCGTTTACAAAATAACATCAGTGGTATGATGCACACCGATAAGACCTTATCAATTTTTGTATTCTGAGAATTTTATTTTCACAATCACTCAAAACTATTTTCATCAATAGGTTTTTCCGATTGAGATACCCGAAGCATTGACATGTCTTACAGTATGGAAACGATTTAATGATATCAAAGCATTGTTGAAATTCGTAAAAAAACGTCATAAAATCGAACGCCTAAATGGAATGGTGCCAACTTTGGATAATCACACATTTTTTAAACGTTTCGAGGCAGATGTGATAACAGAGCGGAAATTGTTTATAATTCGACTACTAGATTTTGTTGGACAACATCCAGCGCTGTATAAATCGCAAGTGTTTCAAGAATTTTTTGCTACCACTCAAACGATGCCAAACGATGAAAGTCTTCAATTCGAAGCCGATGATATTCCAGTGAGTAAAGACACAGTGGATTGTGCCGCTGTTAAAGTCATAAATTCAATGGTGGATCCGGATGAAACTCCAATTGCATCAACTTCTTCATCCATGGATGAATCGTTCGAATCGAGTTCAGTGTCAACGCCTATCATTGATTCTCCAGCTGATGGGAATTCGGATGATGGTTACAAGGCATCGTCGGAAAATGATATCATTATTAGTGATTCAATTAAAATTAAATCAAATTCAACAGAACAAACAGCTGCCATTTTGACGCGGCAATATTCAAGACAATATTCAAGGTAAGTTGATTTCGTTCAACACATGATACAACTGAATTGAGCTGAACTAGTTTGTGTAATTTACAGCAGTGAATATGTATTCAGAGATCCAATTGAGACTCCATGTCATCCTAACGAGAGAAAGGAGTTATCAAAATTCAAAGTACTGAAAGTGGTGGATAGAGCGATGCAAGTTCAAGACTTAACCACAAAGCACATTTATATTATGAAGGTAGGGCGAACGATTTCAGTGCATTGTGAAATTCACATAAAATTTTCATAATCAATTGCTTATCTTTTAGTCGATTGATAAAGTATTCAACGAACCCGAAGAGTTCTACTTACCAACGAATTTTCCGTTCATGGTCTCATTAGTAGCGTACTACGTGTCTGAGTCCAGTGTTTATTTGCTGTTGGAGCAAGCAACGTAAGTTATGAAATTGATTAAGACGAATATCACTTAATTGGTTTGTTTGATTTGACAGAGGTGGCCAGTTGTATGATTACATTTACAATTACAATCGTCATTCGTTGTCTACAAAAACAACCCTGAACAAATCCGTACCGATCAAATTCAAGGCTGTAAAAAGCATTTTAAAGAGCAATCCAATCGAAATACCAGATACGCTAGTCTCTCACCTGAAAACATCGGATGCCAAATCTAGTGAAGATGAAGAAAATTTCAGCTTCTACGATTTACTTCAATCTTATTATGATGATGTCCCGCTGAGTAATTCAGTTAAACCCATTCCATTAGAATGTGAAGAAAGTTTTGACGAAGCTCCTCACTTCAATTTGATAGCAAATGACTTGGACGTGAATAACATATTGAATTGCTCGCAAAAACTTCTGAAATCCGTATCCACTACGCTGAAGCGAGTGCAAACCACTACGGAATCAAATTTATTGTGCAATGATATTATCACCAAAACTAGTGATTCGGTTGAAAGTCTGGATCAAAGCAACGAGGACAAGGATGATATTTATTTGAATATAATATCTCCGAGCCCAAGTGAACCATTTAATGCCAAAGAATCAATTATAAACCACAATTATTACGAAAGTTTCAAACTGTTTGACGTTAGCCAGCTACCGAGAGCGATAATTAAACGATGGTTTCGGGAAATAATCTTTGCTGTGAAACATTTACATGCGAACGATATCGCCTGCTACGATTTACAACCGCACAATCTTCTGTTGGGAAAAAATGGGGAGATTTTGCTATCGTATTTTTATCGACGAGAATTCACACCGTATATTTTCGGTGATGAAATGCATCAAACATGCTATCCGATTGTTTACATTGCGCCCGAACGACCGTTGACACTGCAATCAGATGTTTGGAGCATGGGAGTAATCTTTTACGAACTTCTCACTGGATTTTCATTTCAATCGTGCCACCCCGATGGAATTTTATCATATTTTGATATTCAGTATCCAGAAAATTTCGAACTAGATTCGACCAGTAAAGATCTTATCGAAGGGGTGAGATAATTTATTGCTACGCTGTTGATTTCTTGCTAAAGTTTCAAAGTTTTTGATTTGACGGTGGATAAATAATTTTTGTACTACTTTTTCAGATGCTGCAAATTGACCCGGTGCAACGAACTAAATTAGACGAAATCGAAGAGAATCCGTTCTTTATAAGCATTTGGTTTAATGAATTATCTCAATCAAGCTAACTAGTTATAGTGAAAACCTCGGCATCTTTCAATTGCAAAACATTTTCCTTATTGAAAATTCTATATCAGATATTAATCATGAAATGATTGGACGACATTTAACAATTCGATTTGTATGTATTTTTTTATTGATTGACATAACGCAATTATTTGTATCAGTGAACACATTACATTCCCAATTCCTAACCGACTGACGAAATTCAAAATTTAGCTATAGTTTGGCATATATTTAAATCGATCAGATTATGTCGATCGTTCTACGTATACAAGAAAAAAAAATATATCAATACATGAAATAAAGAGAGAAAAAAACAACAACAAAAAAAGTGTTTGTCTTTTCGTTGGGTATTTCAAGCCGCTGGCAACACGAAACCATCTATACGCATTACGTCACTGTACTGAAAATGACAAATGAACGCATATATACATTTTATTTTGACACATACACATTCACAGTAGATTTCGTTGTTTTGAATCATCTTTTTTTTTCTACTTTGACTTTATAAATTCATTAGACTGTTTCTATTGCAAATCGAAGGAATTCCTATTTTGCATCGCATTCAATTAGTATATTGCGAGTGGTTTTTTCATCGCGAATAAAATTTGTTCAACATCACATAAATTTTTTCTTTTTTAGATTAAAGTGTAGAAAAGAAAATCTGCTAAAATGGAGTGGCTATTTGGAAAACGAATGACACCCGATGAAATGTTACGAAAAAATCAGCGAGCACTAAACAAAGCGATGCGTGATTTGGATCGTGAAAAGATGAAAATGGAGCAACAAGAGAAGAAAATCATCAACGACATCAAAAAATTGGCAAAAGAGGGTCAAATGGATGCGGTGAAAATTATGGCATTGGATTTAGTGCGAACACGTCGCTATACTAAGAAGTTTATGTTGATGAAGGCCAACATTCAGGCCGTTTCATTGAAGATCCAAACATTGAAATCACAGAATACGATGGCACAGGCAATGAGCGGTGTAACCAAAGCCATGGCAAACATGAATCGACAGTTGAACCTGCCACAAATCCAGAAGATTTTGCATGAATTCGAAAAGCAATCGGAAATCATGGATATGAAAGAGGAAATGATAAACGAACACATTGACGATGCGATGGAGGACGAGGGCGACGAAGAGGAATCAGACGCTGTCGTTTCACAAGTATTAGATGAATTGGGCTTGCAATTAGGTGATCAATTGTCTGGATTGCCACAGGTTTGTTTCACATTGTCAATGACATTTTTCGCGGAAAATTACTCATACCATTACTCTTTTGTATTCTTTTTGTGTGTCGAATTTTAGGCATCCGGATCGTTATCGGTTGCGACTGGTAGCAAACAACCACAAGCTGCCGCAATCGGTGCTGCCGGAGGCAGCGGTGGTAGTACTCCATTAGATGCTGACGCAGATTTACAGGCTCGGTTGGACAACTTGCGACGTGAATAAACATGCTTTGTTCCTGTTCATTGCAGCTCAATCTTAACGAACACCTATCTTTTCGATTCTACAATTCCCCAAAAAAAAACAAATTCTATTTTTATGAAAACCAATTTTTGTTATAACTATTTAAGAAGCTGATATGTATCGTTTGCGAGTATCATACTCAAGTGCGGATTAAAATAAAGAATAAAATGAATGGACACGAAATTTGTTTAGGAAAATACACACCTAGGAATTTAAAGTGCCTACTTTTTAATGCCGAAACATCCAATAGGACTCACCAATTTCAAATGTAATAATACTACACACATGATACATGTATGCCTAATAAATGTATGTAAATAAGCTTATACTGATGAACTCAACTTAATACAATTTTAATAAATCGAATACACAATAGCATTACTGCGACCAAAATCAATATTTTCAGTTGAAATTTATGAAAAGGAACAGAAGAATGCACATATTCCGCATTGGATTGATTTTCCACTCTGCACACGTTACCTTTTAAATATCCCAATCGGATTGAATAATCCAACCAACTTCACTAAAGCAATTAACAACAACAACAACAAAACTGAAATGAAAACACCCCCACGTTATTTTTTCCATCGATCATAGTTGATTCAAATATTTATTAAATGTTTATCATCAAATATAATCCATTATAAAACAGTTTTCGTGTTTTGTTTTTAATTTCTTTTAATGATTATATTTTGTTAAGCTGGATCGCGATATTCCTATTGCGTTTCTTTAGAAACGTAAACGGTGTGGGCATTGGCCTGAGCTCAAAGCAAAGTAGCTTCGAATGTACTTGAACAAGATTTTCTTGTCTTTGTGGGTGCTCAATGCGGTGCGAACGGCCTTGTCGACGGCGGCTTGGTCGGCTTTCTTTTGTTCTGATGGAACATAACGTTCCTTCTTCACGGCAAACACATCACCTTCACCACGGTTCTTCTCCTTCTTATCGGCACGCTTGAAGTAGGCATCGTTGATGTGAGCTGGAACCTTAACCTTGCTAATGTCAATGCTGGTTGATGTGGCGATGACATAGCGTTGAGAGATACGACGCAATGGGCATTGGTTCAACGAGTATGGGCCAGTAACCAGCAACAAACCAGATTTCAAGACCTACATTCCAGCACATGAAAATGAAGAAGAAAAATCACACAAGGAAATTAGAAAATATAGCAAAAATCACACTTATCGCACAATGTTCAATAACAATTTAGAGAATTTTTGCACAAAAACATTGGTTTTTTTCTAATCCATCAAATGAAAATAGTGCAAACATGCTGTCTACGGTACTAACCTTAAGCAAAACAACACGTTTGCCCTTTTGTCTTCCGGCAAGCAAAATAACAACGCGACCTGGTTTCAAGGATTTGCGGGTATTACGCTTGTGATTCTTGAAGAGTTGACGACCTGGACGAGATGCAACTCGTGGTTTGGTTGGATAGTTTGATTTTGGTTTCAACAAACTGACAACACGTTCGCCACCATTTTTAGCACCGTTCACTTTCTTGACGGCGGTAATGGGCTTCTTTGGGACTTTAACAACTGGACGTTTTTTGCCAGCAAAACGCCACAAAGCCTTGCGTTTATATTGTTGTGAGCGGGAATACTTCAACAAACCACCGCCCAAGTCGTAATTCAACTTTTTGACTGGCTTTTTAGCCTTTTTGTCGTCTTTCTTGGCAACTTTGTTAGCAGACATTTTTGCACGTGTCTTCACGACTCACCAACCAAAATGTAAAAGAACTAAAAAGCTTGGTTATGTCAATTAGTTTGCATTCAGCGCCACGCCATGCCATTCGCGTAACTAAACCAGCAATGAATGGCGCTGCTGATGCGTTTGCGTGACTTTTTGAATCACGATCAACCATTTGAAATGAATTCAATTACATTTCAATTTATGAATGGAATGAAAGAAAATTATTCTTAATTCTGTTGTAAACTAACGAAGATTTTGGATTTCGTTCATTTTCACTACTGCAAGCATACACTTGAAAGGCATTTAATCGGTTAAATTAAAATTAATGTTATCATTTTTGTGCAACAGCTGTTGCGTTTTATTTTCCACAAAACCATGGAGCTAAGTTAAAAATATTCGCTCAAATTTTTCTTTATTATTTATTAAAGAATTTTTTACACCAATTCTACAAGAAGAATATTCATCATGTTCGTAAAATAATTGTTCTACTCATTTTCAACTCGTCAAATCATTCCTTCAACACAACCGATAGTTTCGTGTTTCTTGTGAATGGATTGGCATGAAGTTGTCCCAGAGTACACTGCTTATAGGCAGTTTCATGTAATATTTTGACACTTTTGACTTTTGTTCTAACCTTAAAGCACGTTGTTCATACTCTTATCAGAATTGCCGTAGTTGCCTCCGCATTACATCATACATTCAAAACGAAGTGTGACACAAGTGTTTGGTGTACGAAAGGCCGGTTAATTTCGTGTAAAATTGTAAAATATCAATCAAGGGCAAAATGTCATGGTTATTCGGTGTAAAAACTAATCCAGTACCTCCAACGGCTGGCGGAGATGATGGCAGCAATCCACCAAATCAACCAACATCGGCTCCATTGTCCAAATCAGAACGCAAAGCAATGGAAGCGTATCGTTTCGATTCGTCGGCCTTGGAACGAGCTGCTGAAGCCGCAAAGACACTAGAACGATCAAGTAAATAGAATGGTGTTCCATCAGAACGATAGTACCTTCTTTAAGCAGAGTTTTAATGACATTTCAATTAATTTAGAGCATGCACGTGAGGCGCTAGAGCTATCAAAACTACAAGAAACCACGAAACAGCAAGAGGTTTGAATGAAAATGGTCCAATATTTCAATGTTCTCTCTTGTTAATCGTTTCTTCTGTTTTGGCTTATTGTTTTAGTTTATCGCCAAGGCCAAAGAGTATGAAGCACATATGGAACAAGCTCGTGTCGAGCAAAAGCGTGTGGATTATGAAGAGCGAAGAAAACTTGCATCCGAAGAAACAAAACAACAGCAATTACGTGCACAATATCAAGACCAATTGGCAAGGAAACGGTATGAGGAGCAATTAGCTCAACAGCAACGTGTACAAGAAGAGAATTTACGAAAACAAGAAGAGAGTGTTGCCAAACAGGAAGCCATGCGACGAGCGACAATCGAGCATGAAATCGAGGCAAAGGAGAAAAACAAATTGAAATTGCTGGAGCATGAAATGCGAGTGAAGGCCAAGGTTGAGAGAGAAAATCGTGATTTGACATTGGAACAAATTCGATTGAAAGCCCAAGAAAACCGTATTACTGTTTTGGAATCTATCAAGTACGACACACATTTGTGGGCAACAATTTAAAGCAGAGAATTCAATTATTTCTTCTTTCAATTTTAGAACTGGTGGATCGTTATTAGGGGCTGGTGCTCAAGCTTTGTTGACCGATTGGGATAAAGTATTGACAGCCGCTGGAGGACTTTCCCTGGTAGCATTAGGTATCTACACTGCCAAAGGAGCAACTGGTGTGACTGCGCGATACATTGAATCACGTATCGGCCGTCCGTCGCTCATCAACGAAACGTCACGTTTCACATTCAAAGACATGATTGCTCATCCACTTAAAATGGTTCAAAAACTAAAAGCCAAACCATCGGATGCTCTGCAAGGGGTTGTGCTGCAGCCAACATTGGAAGAACGTCTTAGAGATATTGCAATCGCCACGAAAAATACAAAGCGTAACAATGGATTCTACCGGAATGTTTTGTTGCACGGAGCACCAGGTACGGGTAAAACGATGTTTGCACGGAAATTGGCTGAACATTCAGGCATGGACTATGCGATTATGAGCGGTGGAGATGTTGCTCCAATGGGTAAAAGTGGTGTCACAGCTATTCATAAGGTGTTCGATTGGGCTAAGACCAGCAGACGCGGTGTATTGTTATTTGTTGATGAAGCCGATGCATTTTTGCGTAAACGTTCATCCGAACACATTTCAGAAGATTTACGTGCAGCTTTAAACGCTTTCCTATTCCGGACGAGTGAACAAAATCAAAAGTTCATGTTGGTGCTGGCCAGTAACACACCCGAACAATTCGATTATGCATTGAACGATCGTCTTGATGAAGTGGTCAGTAAATATTTAGTATAGATAATACTAATAATATGGTCTCCTATTGATACTGGTAATACGTTTTATTCTTGTTAATTTAAGGTCGAATTTTTATTGCCTGGTTTAGCCGAACGTGAACGATTGATTCGTTTGTATTTCGATAAATTCGTACTGCAGCCAGCTTCCGCGGGATTGAAGTGAGTTGATTATACTGGGAACTGAACTTTATTCTGGTCTTATAAGAATTGCCATCAGATTTCATCTCCAATTATTTGTTTACCCATTTTCAGACGATTCAAAGTAGCTGAATTCGACTATGGAACTGTGTGCAGTAAAATGGCTAAAATGTGCGAGGGTATGTCTGGTCGTGAAATTTCCAAATTGGGCGTTTCATGGCAAGCGGCTGTTTATGCATCAGAAGATGGTGTACTCACTGAGAAAATGTTACTCGATCGATGCAAAAATGCCATACATCAACATAAACAGAAGGTAATTCATTGGCATTGCAGTTCACCGTTGATTACAATAATGGAAATCGAAATTAACACAATTTTTTTATATTCTTTTCAGATGGCTTGGTTGTCAGAACAAGAGAAATTAGATCACAAATCAATAACTAGCGGGAAGCCATTGAACATTTAAATAAGTGATAGTTGGACAAAGTTTTTAAAAATTTTTTTCTTGATGTACAAGAAACAATGAAAAAAAAAACAATCCTGTTTTTATAGCATTAAGCAAAAGTTGCGGAGTTGATCTGCACAAAATATTAGAATAAATTAGAACATTCAAACCAATTGCCGTATAAAAATTTGTGCATGTATTCGAATTTTATAATTTTTGTTTCAATGTTTCCAAATTAGATAGTCAAGTCACAACCGAATAATCTTCCAAAAACCAATTAATTCACAGTTCAAAAGAGAGGTACAGGGGAGATAAAAACATTGCTATTCAAATAAAAACACGTTGCAAATTGAACTTTTGTTGTCACTTTACTTTTCAAACAAGGAAACTGTTCTTACACATATACAATCATTTTACTGACTCGATTTCACTGCAATTTTTTCTACATTCTCTTCAGCCGTCTGGCTTGATGCGATATTTGCTGGCTTTTTCCTTTTTTCCGCATCTTCTTTAGCCTTTTGTTTCCCACGTAAAATCGCTTGCTTGAAGATATTACAATAGAATTCAATAGACACTTGGCTGTCATCGTTGCCAGGAATTGGGTATGTTATTAAACTTGGATTGCAGTTTGAATCGACAACGCCAATGGTTGGAATCATCATTTTGGCTGACTCTTTGATGCCATCATGTGGCAACAGCACATCATTCAATGTGTTCAAGAAGATACACAAATCGGGCAAACGCGTCACTTCACGGAATTGCATCACGGAATTTGTGAACAATCCTTTGCGCCACATACGAGCATGAGCAAATTCTTCACATTCTTTGGCGGTGTTCTCAATCAAATTTGTACACTGTGGATTACGGCCCACGAACAGAATCAAACCATCGCGGTACGCAGTATGAGCAGCAAAATTTAAAGCCTTTCGCAAATAGAGTGCGGTCTTATCCAAATCGAAAATGATATGACCCATTCGCTTTCCAAATATATACGGTTTCATTCGATCGTCTAGCGTTCCTTCTCTGTGCCCATAATGGATTCGTGCATTGAATAAATCAGTTACGGTAAACAAATTGTGGACATTGAAGAAATCAGCATGCATCAAATATTCATTCTCAGGCAATTTTGCGGCTGTGAATTTAATCAAGATTCAATGGAATTTATTGAAGATTTTGAATTGCTTTAAATTACTCTCACCTTTTAGTTCAGCTTGCACTTGCTTTAAATTCTCCGGCACCTGTAATGGTACTTTATCTGTTCGCGGTATGAATCCTCTGTGCTTTATAATCTTTGTACGGATCTGTGACTTGGTCGGATTGAAAACTGCAATGAAAATTACAAGACATCAATTATTTTATTCGATTGCTTTGCACCCATAAACAGTTATTTCACCGAAAACCACTTACAATTTGTTAAAAGTTTCGACATTTTAATATAGATTTAAATTTTACTTCAATTTCAGTGAAAAATGCGAGTTTCAAACTGTGGATGGTCACATAACCTCAACATTTTGACACTTCACATCAAACCATTTTGACAATTCGGTCGATTGTTGAACGATTTGTCTAACATGTGAAATCCCTAGTGAAAAAAAAACGGCAATGAACGATTCAAACCAAGGATATTCGTTGTATTTCAAGCCAATTTATTTGACAAACTTTTTTCTTTTCAAAAAGAAATATGAGAGTATGGAAATCGTCGATTATTTTCGATGTCTCGTACACTAACTTTATCTTTCAATCGGAAACACACGATTTCTGTTTACTGAATTTCATTGTTCGGTATTAGATTAGCTCCGGCTCAAACCATACTTATTTATTGAATTAATGAAATATTTTAATGGATTCAAAACTTTTTAAACTTAGCAAACGGTAACCCTTTTTATTGTCAATTTTTCATAAAACTTCTGTTCCTTGTTTGAATGGAGGAAATTTTAAATATTCGATATTGGTACATTGTGATTAACTTGAACGCCATCTATTTCTGCTGAATGTTCAATCATTTGAATAATGTGCTTCAATTTCGAACAATCAATACGCATCACATCACTCGCACGGCACCATTCATTTTGACAGCACTACCGTATTTTGCACAACGTTTTGCCGGTTAAAATAGTTGAGCCGTTCCGAACATCGTGGTCGAAAGTCATTGCGCAGTTTAGTGATCAACAATTGTTGACCATGGCAGATATAATGAATAAAGTGCAAGAAACAAGCGACCACTTGCAACGTTTTCTCAAAGTGCTTTCTGAATGGAAAGCCGAAAATGATGCGCACCGAGCACGTTTAGATGCAATGGGTGAAGAATTGTTGAAAACCATGGAAGGTATAAAAAAGGCTGCTCGTGATTTATTGCCGAAAAACAAGCCAACTCAATCGGATAAACCATCGGTTGAATTCAAATCAGTACCACCACCCCTGCTTATGGCCCGGCGCTCACCTACGGTATTGAAAATTGTTCAATCACAATCTTCGGCTTCCAAACAAAACCAAGTCAATAAACAATTGAAACAAAAAGATACCAACCGTAAGTTGTGTATTTTTCGGCACATTTCATAACATTCGCTAAAAAAAATCGAATCAAATTCCAGGTGTGATGATCAAAAAGGAAATCGATGCTGAGGAAAATACGACTGGTTTACCCAAATTGTTGCCAATGAAAAAAGTGATCTGTGCCTCTCTGCTCACACCGAATCAAATAAAAAAGGAACCACGTAAGTTTTCTTTGTAAAATGTAAATTGAATTTCGTGCAATGGAAATAATGATATTGCTATGTGTAGATGTGGCTACGGTCCCGAAAGATAATTTGAAGCGCAACCATGAATCATCGGTCTCCGAAATCATTCCAAAAATACCGCGGACCACTCGTTCCCAAGCAAAGGCTTTATTGAGCAAAGGTAGCCATGTTTTTAATCCTAACTCTGAATATATGTATGTCTAACTGCATTTTGTTTTCTCCGTAGACATTCTGGAATCCATTAGCTCAATTAAAGGCACTTCCGCACAAAGCATGGCTGATACTTCAAAGCAAAGTATCAACAATCGCGAGCGTGTGGTGAAACCTTCGAAGAAAGTTGGCGGAAAACGCAAACAAAACCAAACCGATAAGTAAAAAATATACATAACCACATCAAAATCCAAATGGCTTATCAGACGGATTCTTAAGCAGCTTATTTTTCCATTTTTCGGATCGCAACATGTTTTTTTGTTGAAAACAATCACCATTTTTTCATAGATTAATTAGCAAGGCTACATATGAATTAAGCAAAGATGAATTTCATATTAAAAACAAATACAACAGATGATACTCTTCATAAAGTCAGTATGACATCAATATTGGTTGTGTCACCATCAAGTGTCATCGATAGTATATTCGGAATGAAATGATAGTTAAACTTGTATTCGGAAAATGTTACTTTTGAAAAGAATCAATAAAAGAAATATTCACACGTTTGGAATATGCAACAATGTCAATAATAATCAAATAATATCATGTATTGAAATTGATCACCGTTTTACCTTTCGTTAAGTTCATACTCCACATGTTTCCATCTGCAAGCAAATATTGAAATGAAAGTCCACCCATTTAGTTTTACAACATCAATTAATTTTTGTTTATTTTGTTTGATAAATTTCATAATTGATATAGTGATTTTAGATAGTTTGTTCATATCCATCGTCTAAGTTTAAATTTGTTCGAAATGTTTTTTTCTTCTTCTTTTTTTTTAACTTCTTCTTCTTGTTCCAATTCAATATTATTGTTATCCAGTATGATTTTCCATACAATTTTCCTTGCTTTTTCAACAATTACAATTTTCTAGAAGATATAAAATGAAAATCCAAAACACAATATCCGCTGTATCGTTCCTCTTTTTTCTAATCATTACATTTTCATTTTGCCTTTCCTTTGCTTGCTCTCTCTCTGTCTCGGAAAATGTTCAAAGATTGGTTAGTTTGATTTTCGTGTGTAGGTGTACGTGTACACTGTACACCTTGTATCGCACCAAAAACTTAAATCAAATTACCATTCTGATGTTGTGCAATCAAACAAGGTGAACCAGTCGCCCGACTCATGCATCAAATAAATTTGGAAGTATTAAACAGGGAGGAATGCTCCTTCATTTATTTATCCAATATTTTCTTCTTGTTCATATTCTCCTGACTCATTGCACTACAGATTCTAGTTTTGTATTTTATCTCTCTCAGTTGTTATCGGTAATTTATGGAAATGTTTTACTTTTTTTCTTGTTCATTCGAACCATTCTACGCTCTCTTGCTGGGTAGTGAAATAAATCTGTTTGCCAACGTTCACATAAGCAAGATTGAATTGGATATTTGGTATATGTGTAATCATTGTGTCTGTTGTTTCTTCAGAATGAGTTTTACACGTGTGTGGATGGGTATGTATGTATCTGATTCTGTTTTGACAATTTTCCTATTTGACATCACTACTGCTTTTAATATTTATGATGATATTCAAAAGACTTTTTTTTTAATTCAATAATTACAATGTCTCTAGTCATTTTACACGTAAATATTTCGAAAATGTTTTTTTTTTAATTTGTTTCAGTTGGTTTTGCTTTGCGGCGGTTCTACAATAAATGGTAATGGTTTCGGTTGTGATTTGAGGAAGGACGATTGTAACCGATTTGATCTGATTGGAGGCAGTTTTTTTTACTCTTGCTATTCTATCGCACTACCATGTTTAATACTAATAATGTTTGAAATGGATTTTGAGTGAAAAATTCAGCTATGTTTGGTTGCTTTTTGGATCGAAGAGGAAGACAGAAAATTGATGAAATCATGATTACTGGTTCTGTTGTTGGTTCGAAATACAGAATGAAAGTAATTTATGTGATATGGTTTCGGAGATGATTCACTATTTTCAAACTAGCCATCTACCATCATTGTTGTATATGTTGCAGAAGAAATTGATTTCTTTTAAATTGATTTGTAATTTACTGTTCCGCGTTTTTTTCTTCATACAATTAACAGATAAATTCATGTTTAAATGTTACATTTACATAAAATTCCTTTTTTGTTCAGAATCAATATGTCAGAAAAGTTGAGAGATCGGGCACACATTGTAATAATCATACTGTTTCAATATATTCGGCACTATTGCTCCACAAAAATTGAAGTAAACTAATCTCATTTTTTAAAACATTTTTTTGAACAATTTTTTTTCTCTGAGAAAGTTTAATTTTACTATGTACTGGTAAAGGTTGTATGCTGTGTCCCGCGACATAAATTGGTCGGCGCCGATCTCTTTGTAAAGTGTTGATGATGGAGGCAGAAGAAGCTCAGTTTACATCCATATAATATGATAGATTGTAGATTTGTTTCAATAATATCTATTTTCATACTCTAAATTGTTTATACATTTTTTTTTGTCATTTTTTTTTACAGTTTTATAGGTAAAACATTCGTCGATTGTTTCATTTACAATGATTATTTTTCTGTGTGATTTGTTTTCATCTTCATCAATAAATAGCATACATTCTTCAATTTGAGACAAACATTTCGATTTAAAAACATTTTTTTTCAAGCAGAAACAAAAACAATAAGATTTTTTCCTTTTATTCTTTTTAATCCATAAATTTGTTAAATATTTTGTCAATCGCTGTCAACATTTTTTTTTATTTTTTACGACGATTTGGTTTAAACAATTAGTTTTTTTTTTTGTCATTTCAAAAAATTTCGATTGAACCTTTGAATGATGTGCGGTTCGAATACGTCTTGCGTCAAAACATGAATGGTTATTATTATTTTACTTATAAAGAGAACATAGATGTCGAATATGTGTGTGTTTTTTTTTTCTTACTAAATGTGTATTTGTTTGTTTGTGTGGATAAAATGGTCAAATGGCCAGCAGAGAACGATAAATCCACACAACACATATGGAAAAGGATCACCGACTTCAATTATGTATGTATTACTACGTTGTCATAATTTATGATGCAGTTCCCTAAGAGCAGATGATGATTTTGTGTTTGTGTTGCAATAAAATGCTTATAAATTTTCCGGTTGGGGCAGTTTTGCTTCGCAACATTGGCAAACAAACGCGGTAATACGGTCACTGATGCATGTGGTCCAGACACAAAACATTGACTGTTGGGCTTGTTGCTGCTGTGAGTGCGTGGATAGACCTGCATTTGAACTTACACTTTGATGTCAAATACTATTTCCGGGGTCGCCATTGTCTCCGCCAACACAAACGGCACTGAAACTCTCATCGGCATCACTTTTATTATCGCCAATTGTTGTCGTATGATTACTATTGTCCTCCATCATTAGCATGATGTGGCTGTGCTCATCGTTGCGTGACGATTTTCGGCTATTTTCACTGTTGCTACTGCTGTATTGTCTAGTACGCACCACATCCAGTGAATGGGCACGATGACGTGCACTCAAATCGTTGCCGGGCATCACATGAATGCTCTCCATATGCTTTGCTGGCAAATGCAGCGGCGAAGAGGTTTTATTTGCACAGCAAAAACTTGCTTTCGTTATTGGCAACACCGATTCATTGGCATTATTGTTACGTGTGATACTTGCATTGGTGCTGTTATTTCGTTTTGCATCACGATCGAAAGTGAAACTAAAACGGCTACTAAATTGACGTAATCGGGACATGAATGATTTGGTGCCGTTATTTGCGGCCGAACTAGCGGTGTTTAGGATTTTGTATTTGTGCTGTTGTGGATATTGATTGATTTGTTGTTGCTGTTGGCTCGCTTTGGACTTTTCATCGGATGGTTTCAAATTTCGATTAAGCGGGTCACTGCGTATATCACCGCCACTCGATAAATCATCATTTGCACTTTTATTGAACTGAATACTCTCAGCAATCGTGGCCGGTACATCGCCATCAACACTACGATGTGGATGATGATTATAGTAAACATTATTGTCAGACGTCACTTGTTGCAGACCGTCTGACGACCGTCGATTATGTGTGCTGTATTGGTCCAAGCTAACAGCACGATTTGCACCGAAATTCGAACGATTATTGTGATAACTATGAATATTACCATGAGATCCACGCATCCGTGTACCTGAACCTGTTGTACACAATTCACTAATCATCGACGGTCGCTTTTCACGGCTGACTTTTCGGTTAGTATGCGGCACGTTTTTGATTCGATTGTTGCCTTCGGTATCCACTTTAAATTTTGACGTTTTCTCGGCTATCTGAAAATTATTCAATGGTTGTTGTTCTTCCAATCAGTATCATTCCTGCAACTCACCTTAAGCGCTTGACAAATTCGCAAATATTGTAATTTAATGAAAACACTTACATCCACTTCCGTTGCAGTTTCTGAGTCGCCACTTTCGCTACCCTCTGGAAGATCATGTAGTTCGGCTGATATGCAAAGTGGCTCGTCCACCGATGTACGTGATGTGGATTTCTGTGATGGAATACTGCGACGAGAACGCACACTGATGCCGGATTGAGAGCGGGGCATTTGTGGTGATGCACCGCCATCCGATGATCCATCCACCTCTCCGAGTGATTTTCGAGTCTTGTTTTGTGCATCATTCAATTTCCTATTTGAATCATTTTGAACGAATAAAATATGCTTTGATTTCTTCGCTGGTCGATAGACTCACTTGTAAAAATCCAGGGCATCACGAACGGGTTGAATGATCATTTCAACTAACTCGGGCAACAATTCGCCGAGCGCTTCAAACAATGGCAACAATACTAAGCCAATAAAACGAACTTGACTACCCGGTTTGCTGACTTTATCCGGATCCATGAATGGCGTCACAGGAAGACCCTCTAATTTTTCCGCAGCACTCTGTGCAAAGAATTCCTGTAATAGTCGCTCAAGCCATGGTTCAGCAATATCCATAGGCCGTGCTTCATTTGAAATATCTGCAACTTTTATTAGAACCATACAAAGCTGGAAATAAAATCAAGCAAAATTCGAAATTAAACCACTTCGTTCAAAAAATTTCGGTAATGATATCAATTACACTGTAGTAACGAAAAAATGTACGGTTCAACACATGAAAGTCAGATTTTAGTTGCCGGCGAG